AATTGAAAATTAGGCACAAATTATATAATGGCTTCAGGAGGTGAAAATGGAATGCCTAATGAGCCTAATGGAATAAAAAAGCAAAAAGCAAATATTTATGTAGTTAGAGAATGCATTTAAAGAGCTCCAGTTTAGAGCCAGTTCATGGAAGACATCGGATTATCGCATGGCGTCATAAAACTTAACTTATCAAATCGAATTTTGTGGCACTTGCAATGCATAATGGTATTGGAATGGTTGTCCACTGCAAATTTCCGAAAAGCTTTCAAAAGACTTTTTCATCTTGAATAGCGCGCTCGTTGAAATGGAAATTGTGCTTCTAACTTACGCTAATTTTCTCGGTTGGTGGGCAAGAAAGTGAATTGAAATCATTATCGGTCAGCAATCAAAGTCAACGGATAATCTGATCTCTAGACTGTCAACACCATTTATTTTTTTACCGAAAGGATGTTTGAAAGTCGGGGGACTTAACAATTTGCATAGTCGGCAGGATAGACCCTGCGAATAGGAAAGATTGTGAGAGTCAACTAGGTCAGTCGTGGTTATGTAGATAAGGAGATGCTAAGACTGGACAGGAAGCCTTTGAGCGGTCTTCTAGAAGGACTCTCTCAGAGAAGATGTTATTGCATAACAGAACAAAAAAGAGCACCAATGCTATACCATGAGAACCTTTCCTTCAGATCTTTAACTTGCCAACCAGGCTGACCCAAAGGAACCATGGAAGAAGTTCTACAGGCAAAAATTGGTAGTTCCAGGTCAGAATTTAGTTGACTGATCTGGATGGTCACACTAAAACTAGGGCCTTCAATTACCTTTCTCGTTCATAAAACATAGTTGATGCTTTTTTTTGGATAATTAATTAAAATCATGACGGGCAAAAACAAAAAACAGACCCATCATGTGATGAGCACATATGGTCCAGTCATGGTCATCACATGACTGGACATTCCATCCACTTCATTTATTCATACCAGACATCAACGTACAGCTGGCGTTTACTTCTAACTAAAAAGTCTAATTAACACAGTAAGCTTAAAGGAGAACAATTGGGTAAGTGTTTTTCCCCATAGTTCTCCCCAGGGTCACGGGAGGACACAAACTAGTGTCCTCCCGTAACCCAAAGCTCAGTATATCGCCAGCTACAGCTCGTGGTATACTGAGACGGCCGCAGCCGGGACGGATCCCAACATCACTGTGGAGATCCACCCAGCGGCGTGATTGACAGCTGGCTCTGCCTATCTAGAGGCAGAGCCAGTTGTACCCGCCCCCTCCCCTGTCCGTTCCGCCAGTCAGCGCTGGAGGGTCGGAGCAGGGAGGAGGGGAATCCCTGCAGGGAGCCATGACTGACAGGGAGGGGGGGGGGCGGTCGAATTTCTCTGGAAGAACACTTCAAGACTTGAGAAGAACTAGAAGATGGAAAATTCACAGAACCTATACCAAGCTATGGAATGGCAGAGGAGACCTCAGCACTCTGAAGATCAAAGGGAACTCAACTCAAACGTCTTGAATATGTTGCTGACCTTTAAAATGAAAAGAGGACACATGTAGAAATGGTCATCTATGGAATACTTCTGATGCAGGGTAGATAGTGTTGTGGAGTCATCGTTATTTCTACACATTTTTCCTCTTATAAAATTAAACTATTTCTCTGCAGCTGGACAATCATTGTCGAGGCACTGCTGATATTTGGCAGTCAAACAAAATGTTATGGACACTAGAGGGAAGCAACGAGTAGCAGGGTGGTCGGTATAGGCGTTCGGCTACTGCATGCAACAAGGGGGGTCCTACAGTATATCTAAGAGACCACCTGCACTGTTGGAGAAAGAAGTGAGGGAGGGAGGAGGACATCGTGACTAATGGGTGAAGACTGTACAGCAAAGGTACAGACACCATATATACTAGCACTGTGTTCCTAGCTCGAAATCCTTAGCGGGAAGTTTCAGTCCCAGTGAGGAGGTACCCAGCGGGTCGATCATGTTCTTGTAACGTTCCCCGCGATGCTTGGCCAGGAACGGGCCCCAGTCCGGCTGTGGGGAACACACCAATTTAAGCCTCTGCAAAAGAAAAGGAGAAACGTTGATCAAAGCGGACCTTTCAGTCATTTTACAAGTCTACATTCATAAATTCCTGACATGTCACAATATACAACAGCAGTATAATGTTTCAAGAAAACTTCACCATATATCATTAAAAGCCGCACTTGAACTCCAGTCAGTGACTTTGCTTAGGCTCAGATGATGTCATCATTCTGGTGTAGGCAGGAGGAAGCATTTCCTCAGTCTCGCCTCCCTCACTGATCAGTCTGCTGAGAAGAGGAGGCAGCATTTCCTCAGTCTCGCCTCCCCCACTGATCAGTCTGCTGAGAAGAGGAGGAAGCATTTCCTCAGTCTCGCCTCCCCCACTGATCAGTCTGCTGAGAAGAGGAGGAAGCATTTCCTCAGTCTCGCCTCCCCCACTGATCAGTCTGCTGAGAAGAGGAGGAAGCATTTCCTCAGTCTCGCCTCCCCCACTGATCAGTCTGCTGAGAAGAGGAGGAAGCATTTCCTCAGTCTCGCCTCCCCCACTGATCAGTCTGCTGAGAAGAGGAGGAAGCATTTCCTCAGTCTCGCCTCCCCCACTGATCAGTCTGCTGAGAAGAGGAGGAAGCATTTCCTCGGTCTCCCCTCACCCAGTAATCAGTCTGCTGCATTGTAACTTTGTAGCAAGTCACACTGAACAACTTCAATCTCACATGCCAATGTATGTAGACAATAAACAACTGGTTTATTGAAGAAAGCACACAGAGTTTATAACTCACAGAATCAGATAAGAGTTCAGTGTGTTGAACAGTTCCCACCCCTAGACAGCCGGGTGCCGCATTGGAATTCCTTTAAGCACGGACGCTCTTTGAACCTAATGAATGTCCTTTTACTAGATAAGAGCTTGATTCCATCATCCCAAACAATAGCCCCTCCAGACAGTCTGCTGCCTATAACGAACACGGGGTCACTGAAATGTAATGTCGGGGGAAACATGCAGTATTTTCACTCCACACATAAACCTAGGAGAATGGTTCCATGTAACCCCAAGAGGCCTGAGGGGGGGTCTCATTGTTCTAGGTCCATAGTCAATAGGAAGGAGGCTAGCCCTCAGGCTCCTCCAGCAGCCCCAGTGACGGTTCAGTCCATCACAGTAATCTCCAACTTTAACCTTTCATGTCTCCTTGTTACATTGTTGCCCTGGAAGGTCCAGGTATCAAAGAGAACTTGGACTTTTAAACAATGTTTCAGAAGCTGCCAAGACTTTTCTTAAAGTGACATTAAAGAATAATTTTGTTTCCCTTTTTCCCTCCCCCCAATGTTAATGTCAGCACTTACCCTAAATGACGTCTCTTAATCCGATCTTACTCTTCTTTCCTGATGTTTTCATCTGTCCCTCCAGTGGTGCGGCGGCTCTCCGATCCAGCGCTGAGTCCTCTCTGCTTGCAGGCACTTCCGATCCAGCGGTGTCTACATGCGAGTGCATGCGTCCATAGACTTACCTTGCGTCTCTGCTCGTCTCCCAGCCCAAAATCCGAGCTGCGCATGCGCCCGCCCCAAGATCCTTTGCGGCCAGGCCAGCAGCTGGGCGGATCCCGGCACAATTGTCAGGATCCGCTTCAGCTAAGGCGTCCCAGTATACCACGAGCAGCAGCTCCCTATATACTGAGCCTAGGGTGACGGGAGGACGCTAGTTTGTTTACTCCCGTTACCCTAAGGAGAACTATGGGGAAAAGCCCTGACCCCATAGTTCTCCTTTAGTGACTCCACCCGGTCACCTCTGCGATGTCCAAGTGACTGGAATCCCTGTTGATGATGATAATCCTCCGAAGTATACACAGAAAACTGCGTATAAAAAAATAAAAGTTTGGCGATGGAGATTTTAATTATTTAGCGAATAATTGCTTTTGCTAATCGAGCGACCGGCGAATAGAGACTAGAAATGGCCTTCATTTAGGACGCCGTTTCCATTTACTGAAAATGCACTTTGATAGATAGGTGATTATATTTTTTTTTTTTTATGAAACAGTATCGAAACAAACTCCCGGCCTGGTAAAAAAAAAATAAAGTCATTAATGGTTTATTAGCCATTAAAATAAATTGAGCTTTTATTGCATTATTTTAATTGAGCTTCTATTGCATTATTTTTTAATCTCTGTTAAATTGCCACTTTGACACCTCGACCTCCCAGATGAGCACTTGTAAAAAAACGAAACAAAATACTGCTGCGGAGACGGATGGCTGGTCCGGGGCGTATGCGACATTTTGGCAAGGTGTTCGCCCGCCACGGAGCGCATTGTAATGTTTTTTATGTCCCAGCTGTTCCCCTGCTCATTGGATGCCGCTAACCTCGCCGACTGCAGCGGACGCAGACGAGCAGCGTTTAGTATGCAAAACCAGGAGACGAAATAATGATTGAGATGCTGTTAGTTACCTCAATAAAATTGCCCGGAGCCAGATGCATTTTGATGACAAACATGATCGGAATCCAGATGACGGAACAAATCAACATCAACCACGCGAGGATCATGGACCACGACGGGTAATGGTAGCTACCGTAAGTCATCGGCTCCCATTGGTAAAAGCTGAAGCACAAGATAAACTGGAAGGAGAAACATAAGAAACAAATTTAATGTTAAATGATGTTAAAGTGTATCTGAAATTTTCATATTTAGTTTTGGGTAGAGTGATATGGGGTTGGAACCTCGGCCAGATTTTCATTGCTCTCCATGCTCCTGCTGGGGAGGTTCACCTTCTCTATTTGTCACAAGGATAACAAGTCAAGGGAAATCCAAAGTTTTGGAATAGACGGGGGTCTTCCCCTGGAGAGACTTATTCTGTGACAACTAAGAGGATCCGAGTTATTTTTGCCTACAGCGCTGATGAAGAGAATTCAGATCCCTGACATTTGTTGGTTTTCCTGGAACCTTTAATAAACATCCCAACTATATGGAGATTACTGTAGTATAGTACATTGCTTTGGATGCCTCTCCTGATGGAGTGGAGAACTCACATTCCTTTTTTTTCATGTATATACCCATGTTGGTTCATGTATATACCCATGCTGGTTCATGTATATACCCATGCTGGTTCATGTATATACCCATGCTGGTTCATGTATATACCCATGCTGGTTCATGTATATACCCATGCTGGTTCATGTATATACCCATGGTGGTTCATGTATATACCCATGCTGGTTCATATATATACCCATGGTTGGCCATATATATACCCATGGTTGGCCATGTATATACCCGTGGTTGGTCATGTATATACGCATGGTGGCTCATGTAAATACCCATGGTGGCTTATGTATATACCCATAGTCGCCCATGCAGCTACTCATGGTGTTTCATGTATATACCCATGGTGGGTCATGTAAATACCCATGGTTGGCCATGTATATGCCCATGGTTGGTCATGTATATACCCATGGTTGGTCATGTATATACCCATGGTTGGTCATGTATAAACCCATGGTGGTTAATGCATATACCCATGGTGGGTCATGTATATACCTATGGGTGCTCATGTATATGCCCCGGGACATTGGAATTTCCTCTGCTACACCTAGTGGCCATACAACACTGCGAGTCTCGTTCGCACAGTGAAAAGTTGTGCAGATAGTTTAAAAATCGGCCCCTTTAAGTGCACATTGCTGTTTTTGTAAATGGCACATAGCTGGTGATTGCTGCAACATTTGCGGCCATTTAAGTGATTAAATTGCAAAGCTATTGCTTGCTTGCTATGACATTCCTCTCGCTGAATGTCTTGCTTCAACTTTCCCTGACTCCATTCATTGTAAAATATAAGTACTTTAATGAAGGGAACAAAAAAAAAAAAAACAAATGACTCTGATTTATTAAAGTGAGCAAATTTACCATCACCCAAAAGTCCCCAGGAAGAGCGTTTGATCTGCCCCTATCTCAGTATTATTCCTGAAACCACGTGATCTTCAGCAGCAAAATAATATATTTTTTCCTGCTGTAGCGTAGGCAAAAATGTATTCTTTATGTAATAACCAGACCCATAACTGGAGACAGTCTGTGCAAAGTAAAACAGATCATTATCTGCTGACACAGTGGATTTGTGCCACCAATTTGGATATATTATTCATTAGCTAGCTGCCTATATGCTATATAATTAATTCTGTTTCTATAATTTATGTTTATAGGCCAATCAATGTGCTTTGCTGACACCTAGTGTCTAAAGGGATGAACTGCAAGCAGGAAGGATTAGTGTTGGCAAAGCATTGACTATGGGGTTACTTTAGCTTTGTCAGTGAAGTTAAGTTAGTGAAGTTAGGTTGCGGTTACTTCAGTCATTGGATTCAAACATATACATTGGGAATGTATCTGTTTTCTTTATTATGGTCATGGCTTTAAATTCGGTTTTATTCAATATTTATGTTTCCTTTGAATATTTGTACATGAACACATATCATAGTTACATTTATAGTCACTGTTTAAAAAAACAAAACAATTGTTTAGTTAAATAGCTTAGAAGACTTTTTAAATAATTAATAAGTAAATTGCTCAGAGTGTAAAGAAATAAAAAAAATCAACTTTTTTTGCAATACTCACTCACCCCACAGACACTCTGCTCCGTCCACCAGCACATCTTTCAGGTTGAATGACACTTCCTGTTTTTGTGAGCCCAGGGTGTCATGGACATGCCCAGTGGCAACACAAGGGAGGTGCGGCCCACACCGGGTGACACCATTAGAGGGGGTGACACCAAAATGACTAACAGTCACCCCCTCTGAAAAGTCGGGCACTCGGTCATGGATCGGCACAAGAGAGGAGGGGACCCGAAAGCATACCTTATCCTGCTGGATGAACGTCCCCTCCTCTCTTTGCCAGGGTCCATCACCAAGATGGCCGCTGGCAGCTAAGTGTACATGATGTCATAACACACGTGCGTGTCAAGGAGCATGATGACGTACCAGTGGGTGACAGCTGGCAGCCGCTAAGGATGACACCCAGCCTGAGGACGCCCCTTAGGGGTGCATCACCACACCAGCTGGGTTCACAGTACTGCTGTACATAATGGTGTCCATGCCTCACTACATGAATGCCCTTCAGTAAAGAATGATGTGGGACAAGAAGAGGAAGGACCGCTGATGTCATGTGATCAGGCAGTAGGCAGATGGATTTAAGGTATATATTTAGATTTTTTTTAAACTAGATACAGGGGGGAGGGGTTTAAGGGTAACATTGGGCCATAGCTTAAATTACACACACAACAGAATAAGTCAGTGGAGAGACTCCCATCCTTCCTTGCATGCTCTGTTTAGATGATATGGAGTTTCAATTACAGAGAGACAGTCTGAAAGAAATCAGCTTCAGTGTCATAAGTACAGCCTGTTTTAAATGTTTATTTCTAAAATAAAGATTAAATACAATGGGGAAAAAATACAGAGCATCAGTTTAAAAACCTTTTGTCCTTCCTTCTGGAGGGGGGCTACATCTGTTCCCCATGGTCACAGGGTGTGTTGTAAAGTAGTCAGCGCTCCAAGCTCGCTCCCGGGATGGACTACAATCTCAATACAAATTAGTAAACGAAACATGAGATTGTAGTCCATCCCGGGAGTGATCTTGGAGCGGTGACTACTGTACAACGCACACAGGGGCCATGGGGAACAGACGTAGCCCCCCTCCAGAAGGAAGGACAGTGTCAGCGCCAATTCAGAGATGATTGGAGGATCTACAGCCGAGTGATACACAAATAAGATACATTGTTGTACATTGTTAGGGGACTTGGATGTATTTTAAGGGTTTCATTCCTGCGTTTACAGGCACTTTAAAAAGTATATAATTTTGTGAACTGACCATTTTAAATTTCATTTCATTTCTCGGTAGAAGGATGTTACCGGGTGATACAGACGGGGACAGAGACAACCAGCTTGGGGGGTTTTGTTTTACATCCTTCAATACATTGAGTGTATCTTCTGTATGAAACCCTCTGGGGTCCAGCACACCAATGTTCTGGGAACGTCTAATCCCGGGCTTGTAATTCTACAAGCCATAGATTCCCAAATCCGCCCATTAATATGTCATTATTCACACACCAGATACACTATATGCACCGAAACCTGTGGGCACCTGACCATCACACCCACTTATATGACCAGCAGACTACCGACCTTACTGTGCATTGAAAAAATCACAAATTCTGCTTACGGTTAAAATAGTCGGCGTGACGAAAGCCCAGCAAACCTTCCAGAAGCGATTGGGCTGAAATCCGATCATCATCTCGATGTCTTCACAGAATCTCTGCAGACCTGGAGCAAATAAATACTGAAAAGTTCAGACTTCAAAGGGCAGCACAATGTAGACCCCTGTACACACATGAGGACATGCAAAACAAGAAAAAAAACGTTCACCAGCACTCCAAGTTTTCTTCAAAATGAGATCCTTTTATTCATTCTTGCAGGTCATATCACCACGTCACCACGGATGGTGATATGACCTGCAAGAATGAATAAAGGGAGTGCTGGTGACCATTTTTTCTGTTTTGTAAGTACTTGCGGCGCCATTAACACACACACACACACACACACACATTGTATGGGGCTTCTAAGTCAGGAGTGCGCTGTGACTCTCTACTTGACTGCACATGAGGACATGAGGACATCAATATTGATCTGTGACAGGAACTTGGGAAAGGTAGAGTGAGTTCCACTTCTCAAGTCTGTAGTGTGATAGAAGTCATTGAGAGCAGAACACTGTGATCAGTATAAGGAAAGGGGCAGCAGTGCCATCTAGTGGTCAGTATAGAGATGACAGCTCCACTGGTAGGATATCAGATAATGGAGATATCATTGTTCAGTATTATAACAATGCAGCTGAATGATGTCAGGGTGGATTCACATTAAATGTATGCAGCTTTGCATGTCATTAATGCTCGCCCGTTCTTTTATTTGTGTGCATCAAGCTGCATTTTATATGTCTTTTGCTGCATTTTCCTGTGCGTGGTTTTTTGCTCTTCTGGAAATGCAAAACTGCCTTAAAACATGGTAATAATCAGCATTGTATCCGCTTCATCATACTACCATGTATCTCTGTGGGCACTGAAGGACAACCAGACATGTAATGTTAAGGTGGACTAAGAGGAATAAAAAAAAGCCCCCCACCTGCCTAGTGAGAAGCACAGAAGAACCTTCCTTAAATAGAAGGTCGTATGTTTACCATCACAGAAGTTTGGACTGAATAGCTCTATAATATTAGGCTGTATCTGTACTATAAGCCGTCTGTTCTGTACAAGTCCATAGAATAACCCACTGTCCTAACATGAGGAATTTATTTTTGGATCTGTGATGAAAGTGAGACCCACAAGTACCATCTATATTAGGAAGACTCTGCTATGGGCACTCAGTGCTTTCAGAATTCACGCAGCGCTCTGCCATCTAGTGGTAGAATTGAAGAATGCAGCTCAGTAGTTTCTATATATAACTTGCCAATGTACATAGTAAGTATTAGGGTTAAGGAGGACCGGGAACTATTGGTGGGGGAGACAAAGACAACTAACTGGTCTTTTTAATGGCAGGGACAGCTTCCTTCTTGGTAGTCACACAAATTATATTTATTGCAGGAGTAACTTATACATACATGATCTATGATGGAAGTGAGATCCATAAATACATTGGGGGGAATTTATCAAAGCAATTGTGAAAGTTTTAGCCCCTTAAATCATTTTTTGTATGTGCAAATCTGTCTTTTAACATGTGCCACTGGTTTGACCTATACTGGCACTACTTTTTCAATTGCACGTTTTTTGTACCTATTGTCATCTGCACTTGTTCTGCGTCTGTCTGAAACTGGAGGATCGCCTAACAAAACAATCGCTACTTAAGAAGTCCCCGTGACCACTTCTTCAAGAAGCGACAGTTAAAGGAGAACTATGAGGTGAGTGATTTCCACTCACCTCATAGTTCTAGCCGACCTGTGACAATGAGACTGTCACAGGTCAGCTCAGTATATTGGGAAGAGAGCGAACACATACCGGCATTCGCTCACTTCTCGATCTTGTCACGGCTCTCTGCCGTAACAGGGGGAGGGGGCTGGATTCCCCCCTCCACGCTCCGATCCGCCAGCGCTGACTGGCAGAACGGACGGGGGAGGGGCGGGTACAGCTGGCTCTGCCTCTAGATAGGCAGAGCCAGCTGTCAGTCACACAGCTGGGCAGATCCAGACATAATTGTCGGGATCCGCTTCAGCAGCGGCGTCTTAGTATACCGCCAGCTGTAGCTCGCGGTATACTGCGGCGTCTCAGTATACCGCAAGCTGTAGCTCGCGGTATACTAAGCTCAGGGTGACGGGAGGACGCTAGTTTGTGTCCTCCCGTTACCCTAAGGAGAACTATGGAGAAAAGCACTCCCCTCATAGTTCTCCTTTAAGCTTTTTGCCCGCAGGTACGAGTCTTCTTTCCTGGAGTCTATTAAACCTCATTTATCAATGAAACTACACTCGCATCATAAATCTGGTGCAAATATATTCCGTGCAAGTTCAAACACTCGCAATTGCTATGATAAATTCCCCCCAATGTGTTTTAGGAAGACTCTACTGTGGGCACTCGAAGCATTCAAAATTCAAGCAGCACTCTGCCATCTAGTGGTACAATTGAAGAATGCAGCTCAGTAGTTTCTACATACAAGTTTTTTTTGCCAATGGACATATTAAGTAGGGTTAGGTTGGCTTTTTAATGCAGCAGCAAGATTAATATATACATACAGGGAGAGATTCATCTGCTCCCCCATTTGAACCTTGATCAGAGTGGGATCCGCAGTCAGTGGCAGATGCTAAGCATTATAAAGCTGATTGATTCCTGTTCAGTCCTGCAATAGCAATGTCTGAATAGGGAACACAGTCAGCAAGAACAGAACTGTGTGCTCAGTCTAAATGACAGGGGTGGCAGTGCCATCTGCTTGTCAAAAGAGAGACTACAGCTCCACCATTAGCACAGAAGATACAAGAGGTATCATTGCTCAATATAGCTAAACCAGTGTTAGGCAACCTCAGCATTCCAGCTGTGCTATCACTACAAATCTAATCATGCCTCTGCCTCTTGGGGTCATGCATGTGGCTCTCAGTGTCTTGCAATGCCTCATGGGACTTGTAGTTCCAAAATAGCTGGAGTGCCGAGGTTGCCCACCCCTGAGCTAAACAATGTCAGGATGGATTCACATTTCATGTTTGTGGCTGTGCATGTTGTTAATGGATGCATTTTCTTGTATGTATGTGCATTGACCTGCATTTCACACGTGTTCTGCTGTGTTTACATTGTGTGTGTTTTTATGTTCTAAAATAAAGAAAAGTTGAAGAAAAACAACTTATAAAACTGGTACATGGTACTCTGCCCCACATGTGTGTTTTACTGCTCGGCCATGCATTTGGATGGGCCTTCAATCGTCAAGTACCACTCTGCCCTCTCGTGGCCAAATTAAAGAAAGCAGCTCAGCATATTCTATATGGAATTTGTATCTTCCAGTGAATAGGGCAAGTAGAAGGGGTATTGTAATCATTATTATTTGTGTGCTGGGAGTGAGTGACTGCAGACGGAGGAGTCTTCAGAGGGGAAACTGGAGAGTGTGTGCTGGAGAGATACAGGGGAAAGATCAATGTTTGTGTGCTGTATGATGGATGCAACTAAGGAGATGCAATCTGTAGGCTGGAGGAGGGATAAAGGGGAAAGACTAATGTGTATGGTATGGGGTGGTCTCTCAATGAGGAAGGACCAGTTAGAGGCAGATTTGCAGAGAGGCAAGGTGAAAGTAAAACCTACGTATTATATTATATAAGATTATTATTATTATTGGTGTCCATAATACATAACGGAGCAGTTAGATGGTAAGCAATGGGGCGTTGTGACGGACCGCCTGGTACTCCGACTGGGTACCTTCGTCAGGAATAAGCTTCCTCTCCGCTGGAACCAGAATTCCAGTGTCATCAGCCCAAACCTGCCTAATTATTGGATGAAACCAATATATTAGGACAGAAATCCAAACTCCTCAGTCATCAGACAACACCAATGTTGAAGAGGAAACCAAGAACTGGTTTATTGAAGAAAGCGCACAGAGTTTATACCTCACAGAATCAGATTAGAGTTCAGTGTGTCCCCTCCCCCAGACAGCCGGGTGCTGCATTGGAATTCCTTAAGCACAAACACTCTTTGAACTTAATGAATGTCCTTAATCAGATCATCGCAACAATGGCCACTCACGACAGCCTGCTGCCTATAATGAACACGGGGTCACTGAAATGTAATGTCGGGGGAAACATGCAGTATTTTCACTCCACACATAAACCTAGGAGAATGGTTCCATGTAACCCCAAGAGGTCTGAGGGGGGGTCTCCATAGTTCTAGGTCCATAGTCAGTAGGAAGGAGGCTAGCCCTCAGTCTCCTCCAGCAGCCCCAGTGACGGTTCAGTCCGTCACAGGTGTATCTTCAATCATTACCTGAAACCTCTCTCTCTCACAAATGCCTGGCCCTGAACTACTACTTCCCTTTCTCTCATATCGGCCATTTGCAAATGATACAATGTACCTATTGTATTGGACATTTCCCAACATTGTACACATTTTTCAGCTGTTCCCATTGTTTAGAGGAGCTCTTGGTCAAACACCCATGTTTTATAGCAGCTGTGCCAATAAGAACCAACAATAGTTTGACCTTTTGACATAGTTTGACCTATGGCACTTATGGTACTGTGGTGTGTACTAGAATCTGCACAGCAGAAATGCTTCTGTCATGAAAGGACTATGCCAGTGGCGGAACTATTAACCAAAGGGCCCTGGTGCAAGATTTTATCTTGGGCCCCCCTCCCAAAGCACCACAAGTTTAAATGGGACTATACCAAAGGACTTTGGGATAACACTAGAAGCTTCACTACGAGAGAGAGAGAGAGAGAGAGAGAGAGACTGCCAAGATCAAGAACCCGTTTTCTGTGATTGCTGAAATGTCAATGAATCAAGGTGTGATTCCCGCGTGATGCTCTTCCTCTGGCTAAGATGGCTGGGAAATCGTGGAGCAGCTATAACAGAAGCTCAGTGACTCCCTAGTGTAGGCTGCGCAGTGTGTGCATGCGTGGATGCGGAATTGTAGCACTTTGTATGTCTTGTATTGTTTTCCTGTAACTGTGAGCAGTGTGCATGTGCAGCATTCTTGTTCAGTGACAGCTCATTATTATACTATCGGGTTTTGTTTCTTTGGCTTTCCAGCAAGATTCAGACAAACAGCGAAAAGAAAAAAAAGCAAAACAGTGCGGAACAAGAGTGCAGAGAGTGAGGTCAGGACATGTGATCTGAATACTTTGTTGGAGCCGTTAACTTAGAAAGTATTGAAGCAATTTGCATCGGTGGGACCAGCAGGAAATTAGCATTTTCAGAAGAAGTGATAAGAAGATGGCAGGTTACATGTTTCTTATAATACAGCACAGGGTTCGGTCACAGGAAGCTGTGCATGTTATCTCTGTAGCTTTCTGCACCTGGCAGGCACTGGGCTTACATCCTGCCAATCTGCTAGCCACGGTCAATGATACATTGTTGCACATTTAGAGGAAAGCTGCGATGAGATATTACGGTCAATACAGAGAAGTCACTGGGAGGGCAACAATGAGCTTCTCTAGAGATTCTCTCCAGATATATGCAGCTTGTTCAGTCTCTGTCTACCACCATCAACGCAGCATGCGGCATGGACTATAACCAATAACATGGCGTTTTCTTTCTGTCCTCTATATCCCTGCCCCCCCACCCCCACCCCAAACACTATACCGGTGCTGGCTATCACATCTCAACTCCATTACAGCAGCACTACTTGAAGAATCAAAAACACACCGACATAATTCCCTCCTAATGGCTCCGTGTGATTGTGTAATGCGCGTTTAATCTGTGTAAATAAGACGATCATCAAGTCTCTTGGCAAGGCGCTGCGTTTTTTTTTTTTGCTCATATGTGTTCTGATGAGCCTAATTCTCCTTTTGGGAACAGTAAACAGAAGATGATTCCGTCTTTAACACAAGTGATGGTCGTAAAACCAAAATAGCATCTCTCCGAGAGGCAGACGGCTTCACACTCTACTTAAAGGGCCTCCCAGATGGAGACGCAGCGTGATCCTCCGCTTCCAGCCAAGAACACAATGGCGGTTCTGACTCACTGGAACATTTCCACTGCGGATCTCCTTTGTGAGGACGGCGTACCGGGCCGAACAACGCGCATTACCAGGAACTGCCGAGTCATTCTGGGCGCAGCGGCACCTTCGGTTCATGTAGATTTAGTTTAGTTACACATTGTCCTTTATCCAATCTATAAATCAGTACTGGTGATACATTCCATTCATAAAGTGCTCCCGCCTACTCATTTCATTGCTGTGACCTCATTATCTGCTCCCATTCTGCTGGAGCTCTATGTGTATAATGCTGACCTCAGTATCAGCCCAATGTAATCTCTTGTATGTACGATTGTAACAGATTGTCTGCAAAATTGGTTTATTCTATTAAAGTGACTGTCGCTGGGTGACAACGTTTCTCTGCAAAGAAAAGGGTTCATACTGCCCCCTCCACTTAAAGGGTTATTCACAAAGCTGCCGAAGGATCAGCCGTAGCTGCGGCGGATCCTTCGCCTCACTTCGGTTGTGGGAGCCCTTCGGTTCAGTTGAACTGAAGGGCTGCTGTATTGACTATTCACTATAGCTCGTACAACAGCCAAAGGCGGCCGAGTGGCTCAGCCGAGCCGAAGGCATATGCTTCTACTTGACTAAGCCGAAGTGACAGCCGAAGCAGGGGGCGAACGGCCAGCCGAAGGCCGGCCTTTCGCCCGCAAATGACTGCTGTGCCGTGATCCTGTGATGTCACGGCCGGCTCCACCCAGTTGTTATTCATTGGCTGGGACCTGCTAGAAGACTCTAGCAGGTGCCAGCCAATAGCAAACCGTTGGGTGGAGCTAGATGTCACTGCTAGCTCCGCCCAGTTGTTATTCATTGGCCAGATCCTGTGATGTCAAGGCCGGCTCCACCCAGTTGTTATTCATTGGCTGGGACCTGCTAGAAGACTCTAGCAAGTGCCGGCCAATAGGAAACAGTTGGGTGGAGCTAGCCAAATTTTTTTAATTATTTCTTTTAATCTTTATTTATTTTGAAATTTTACTATTTATTTACATTTTTCATCCTTTTTTTTTTTCCTGCTATTTTCAGCTGTAATGAGCCGGAGCAAATAGCCGAACGTAGTTTGGCTCACTTCTCTTCGGCTGGGTCATTCACTTGGCGGCCTTCGGCAGCTTTGTGAATAACCCCCTTAGTATCGGAAAATGCCGGTCAGTGTCAGCATATGGCTGGGCGATGCAGAGGAAGGAGTGAGCCCAAATCAGGGGTGCCCCCATAGCACGGCATCCAAGGCGGGTGCCTCTTCTGCCTCGGACCGACCTGGCTGCTGTGAATGTCAGACGCCGACTCCCCCACTGTGCTCCGTGGTTCCTCCTGCTGACTTCCACATTACAATTTTGTCCTGCAGTGTGCAGAAGGAACCACAGGACACAGCGGGGGGGGGAATCTCACATTCTGAAAATCATTTCTATATTTTAAAATGTATTTTGATTAAAAGATTTCAGTTATACATTACATATACATATATACCGTGTTTCCCCGAAAGTAAGACCTACCCCGAAAGGTAAGACCTACCCCGAAAGTAAGACCTACCCCGAAAGTAAGACCTACCCCGAAAGTAAGACCTAGCGCTATCTTCAGGGATTTCTGTAATATAAGACCTACCCCGAAAATGAGACCTAGTTTGGTGGTAGGTCTTATATTACAGAAATTCGCTATGTCTACCCTCATATGGATACATTACTTTTTAACTTTCATGTTTCTATATTTAATAGAATTATTTATATTTTAAAAGTTATCTCTCTCTCTCTCTCCACCAAGATTCACTCATCCCTACTTACCATAAATATAAGAAATCCCAACCAGCTCGAAGATGGCGATGATGACGAGAGAATATGACGCGGCGTACGTGTCCACCAGCTGCAGCATGTAGATCCCACCCTGCAAGTGACAAAGAATTTAGAGGATCCGCTCCCATATCAGTTAGAAATCTGCAATCAGGGGGGTCGGACCACCAAAGCCCCGCCCACCTTCAACCACATTTGAGTGTAGACAAAAAAAAGAAAGCTTGCTGTATTCAGAGGTCCCGATATGGCCAACCCCTCGATACAACATCAAGTGTGTGTAGAACTTTTTATTTCTTTTGGGTAGAGAAGGGAAGGATGGAATCCCTATCAGTGTATATTTTGTTATCTATGTCCTTTCGGAGAGATTTCCCTTCACTTCCTGTCCCTGAGACACAACTGGAAGTGAGTGGAATCTCTACAAAGTCTCTCTTGGACAGTTGCCGCCAGAACAAGTCTCGCCATTGGCCTCCAGTTTTGGCAACGGCTTTAAAATTGGAGGTTTTCCCCATCACATTCTAAACCGGTCACAGGGGTCACCAGGATCATTGTCACCGATGCCGGGACAGGAAGTAAGGGGAAATCTCTCCGAAAGACAAAACCACTTACTTAATGGAGTGGGGAAGGGTTACAACTGACAATGTTCTTATTGATGTCTGTGCCTTCCTGTCCTGGGGACAACCAATCCCTTATCACGGGGACAGGAAGTGAGAGAAAATCTCCCCAATGGGATCACAGACAGAAATAAAAACGTACATATAGAATGAGGAATAGAAGCGCCACCCCGCGTGTAAAAGTCAAAAATAGTAATTTATTTAGAATCCCCATGGAAAAGCCAACACGTTTCGGGGGTTACCGTTGGGCTGAAGGGGATCAAACATCTAAGAACTAGAAAACGTCACCCCTTCATCTTAGATATTCCACAGATAATACTCATCATCGGATCTCATTGTAAGTGGACACATTGTAACAATAACATTGTTTCCTGTTTGATAAAGCACCCAATCTGATTGGACGCTGTGGGTCCGCCCCATGGACACAATGCCCACCCACCACTTAAGTGAATGATTATATAACGTCTCCACTGACCTGCGTAATCATGGGGAACCCCGCGACGAAGAACCCCAAGCAGCACACTAAGGTGAACAGCGGCTTGTGGGTACGCAGGTATTTGGGGAATTCATCGGAAACGGAAGTCACTATGGTTTCAATGGTGGCAAACTGAGAAGAAGATACACAAGTCAGTCAAATATTGAACCCGAAAACAACGACGACGTCACACAACTGAAACAAAAGAACTTCCATAAGTGCTACTCCAGCATTAGAATTTACATTACCCCCCCACCCCCGCATGTTGTATCCATGCCTGCCCATTCCACTGATTCAGTGTGGCATATGGAGGATGCATATGGAGGATGCCAAACCCATAAAAAGAAAGTATATGGGTTTTTTTTTCGGATCAATGTATTTTGCCTCTCGTCATCTTCTTATAACATTTCCTTTTATTTAAACACAATAAAAATAATTAAAGGAGAACTATGAGGCGGGTGAAAATCACGCATCCTCATAGTTCGAGCCGACCTGTGACAATGAAACTGTCACAGGTCGGCTCAATAGATCGGGAAATGAGCGAACACATACCGTCGCTCGCTCACTTCTCGATCCTCTCCCTGCAGAGAGCCGTGACTGTCACTCACGGCTCCCTGCAGGGATTCCCCCCTCTCCCCGCTCCGATCCTCCAGCGCTGACTGGCGGAACGGACGGGGCGGGTACAGCTGGCTCTGCCTCTAGATAGGCAGAGCCAGCTGTCAATCACGCAGCTGGGTGGACCTTGACAGTAATGTCGTCCCGGCTGCGGCGTCTCAGTATACCGCAAGCTGTAGCCCCCTATATACTGAGCTTAGGGTGACGGGAGGACGCTAGTTTGTGTCCTCCCGTTACCCTAAGGAGAACTATGGGGGAAAGCCCTGACCTCATAGTTTTTCTTTTAACATTACCATATAATATCCAACAGCTGTGATGAGCCCCATTTGCATCAATGAGCATACAATAAAATGTGTTTTATTGTTCTAGGAACTCTTATTTGCAATTGTCCATTAGGAGGCCACTAGACACGTGCCATTCGTTTTGTTCCGAATCAAAATTCCAATGAATTTTCCGAAATTCGGACCCAATCCGAATTTCCAAATCCCAATGCATGCGAATGCGTCCGAATCCAAATTTCCATTTCTGAATTTCAGATCCCATCCGAATTTCTTTCAGATACTAAACTGAATGGGACATGTGACTTTTCTGTCCAATCAGATGTGTTTTTCGGTTTAATGCATCCGAATGGGTCAGCACACGAATTTTCGTTACGGCAACATGGGAGCCATATACATTATATACATATAATACTAAAGCGGAGGCTCCCAGAACCGAATGGCATCCAGGATCCAGATTTCCGATTTGCATTCGGGGAGCTCCCAAATGCCATACAGGTCTGCGAGCCAAATACATATAGTACTAAAGACCCGACAGGCATTTGGGAGCTCCCCGAATGCAAATCAGAAATTCGGATCCAGAATGCCATTCGGGTCTGGGAGATTCAGCTTTCGTATTAATATCTGTTTCTGGTTTTCTGTGATATTCGCAACGAATATTCGTAAACTCCTCCGAAACTAACAAAAATTTGGATTTCCCCCGAATCCGAAACCTGAACTGAATTGAATTTCGGATCCGAATCCGAAATAATGAAATATCCGAACTGAATGTTTCCGCAGCCTACATGTCTAGAGGCTACTTTGCTTGAATATTACTTGTGTTAAAAATCCATCCAGCCCAAAAAGCTGACATTATAAGTCCTGGCTGCAGGATAAAATCATTGTGCTGGTCAACTAAGAAGTGCGAAGGGAGAGTCTCAACAGCCTGAACGTGAGATCCCGGCCTGATCCACATGTGCTAGACCCGGAATCCGCCTGTCAGTCAGCCCGCCCATCTCCAGCTAAGCCAGCGTGTTATTCCTTTATGATATTATATGATAATTTAATTTGTTTTAATTCCGATTACTTTACAGGAAACTTAAAGGAGAACTATGAGGTGATTGCTTTTCACTCAGCCTCATAATCTAAGCCGACCTGTGACAATGAGACTGTCACAGGTCGGCTCAGTAGATCGGGAGGTGAGCGAACACATACCGGCGCTCGCTAACTTCTCGATCCTGTGCCGGCAGAGAGTCGTGACAGGAGAGGGACTGGATTCCCCCCTCCCCGCTCTGATCCTCTAGCGCTGACTGGCGGAACGGACGGGGGAGGGGGCGGGTACAGCTGGCTCTGCCTCTAGATAGGCAGAGCCAGCTGTCACTCACGCAGCTGGGCGGATCCAAACAGTAGTGTCGGGATCCGCTTCAGCTGCGGCGTCTCAGTATACCGCGAGCAGCAGCTCCCTATATACTGAGCTTAGGGTGACGGGAGGACGCTAGTTTGTGTCCTCCCGTTACCCCAAGGAGAACTATGAGGAAAAGCCTTAACCCCATAGTTCTCCTTTAAAGAAGATCTCCAGTCATTCTTGAAAGTAACTCTCGCAGTACGGCTATCCCCACATTGCAAGGGTTCGTTTATAGATTGCCTGGAATTCTTTAAGAACCCGACTAGTGGTAGAAACATTGTTTCAAAAAAAGGTCACATTTCATTGTATCAGAAGTAGCAATTGCCATGAATGTTCATATGTGTTGGTGATACATTGAGACGTTTCCTCATCTCTAGTTGTAACATAAATTGATTTCTCCTATTTTCTCTTGTGGTTTAGTTAATAATTTCCATGGTGATGATTACTAATAATCTTCTAATATTGCTAATGATATGATCAATAAGATCCACTCCATCTGCTGTCTCTGCTCCCAACTCTATTCTGCTGTCTCTTATTTTCATTGAGCAGGAAACATGGAATTATATTTCGGTAAAGTCAGCGTTGACTAATGAGCTCCGGAGGTCTTACCATTGTGTCCAGCCCCAGAGTAAGCAGCATGAGGAAAAATATTATCGCCCAGAAAGGGGAAAGAGGAAGGCGGGTGAGAGCCTCGGGGTACACCACAAACGCAATGCCGGGTCCTGGGGGGAGAATAGAAGTCAGTCAATGTCTCCCCACTACTGAATTCTACAGTCTAAACGCAAAACACTCTGCGACCCCCCCCCCACCCCCCCCCACCCCCGCCCGCCGCTCTCTCTCCA